TTGGCCGGATCATTGCGCGTCTCGGGGCCCTCTTGGGCCGCCTTCGGGGCATCTTGAGCGGCTCGGAGCCGTCTTTGGGCCGTCGGGGCGGCCTCCGGAGCGTCTCGGGCCCCGCGGGTAAGGGGAGGTTGGAGGGGACGGCGTGGATGGAGGAGGTGGCCGCTGGAGGTAGAGGTGGCCGAGGAGGGATACAGGCAAGCGAGTGATAACTTTATCTGGTAGTGTGGTGGCAATGGGGCCAGTGGGCGCGGTCTAGGAGGCCCACAAAAGGGCGGCGAGACGGCCCAAAAGGTCTCCAGGACGGGCCAAGAGGCTCTGAAGGCCCCACGAACTCCCTAAGACGGGCCCCAGTGCGAGGACACGGATCGACCTTTCGAGCGCACCGCCCCAAGACGTCCCCAACTGGCGCAGAGATTCCCAGAGGGTCCAAGAAGCCCCCAAGACGACGCTGGAAGTTCGACGCTCCCCAGGAGAGAAGCATCCAAGGCCTCTTGGGGGCCGTTTGGGGGCCCTCTTTTCGTCCTCCTGGGAGTCTCTCGGGGCTCTCTTGGGCAGCCTTGAGTGCCTCTTGGGCCGTCTTGGGGCGATTTGGAGCCGACTTGGGCGCCTCTCGGACTATCTTGGGGCCGTCTTGGGGCCATCTTGGGCCGATCTTGGGCGCTCTTGGGGCTGTCTTGGGTGTTTCCGTGGCCGCCCCGGGCGCCTCTGGAGCCGTCCCGGACGGCCCACAGACCGTCTTGGAGACTGTCCTCTACAGCCGTCTTGGTGTCGCCCTGGAGCCGTTTTGGGCGCCTCTTGGGCTCTCTTGACGCCCTCTCGGGCCGGTTTTCGCGCGTCTTGGGGGCCTCTTGGGCCGTCTTGGGGCGGTCGTGGGGACCTTGAACCAGCTTCTGCGCCATATTCCCGACAAGCAGCGCATGCTAAAATTGAACGTTTTTCCTTCGGGAAAACAATAATTTTCGCCTATTGGGGCCATCCTTGGACGCCTCTTGGGTGTCTCTGGGGCCGTCGTGGAGGCCTCCTGGGCCGTCTTGGGTTTGTTTTCGGCGGTCTTGGGCTCTCTTGGAGCGCTCTTGGGGTGTCTGGGGCCGTCCTGGGCGCCTTCTGGGAGCCTCTTGGGGCCGCCTGGGGGCCGTGTTGGGCGCCTCTTGGGTCTCTTGATGCTCTCTCGGGCCGGTTTTCGTGCCTCTGGGGGGCCTCTTGGGCCGCCTTGGGGCGGTCGCGGGGACCTCTTGTGCCATCTTCTGCGCCATATACCCGACAAGCAGTGCATGCCAACATTGGACGTTTTTCTTTGAAAAAACAATGATTTGGGCCTGCGGGGGCCATCCTGGGACGCCTCTTGGGCGTCTCTGGGGCCGTCGTGGAGGCCTCGGGGCCGTTGTCAACGGTCTTGAGCTCTCTTGGAGCGCTCTTAGGCCGTTTTGGGGGTGTCTGGGGCCGTCCTGGGCGCCTCTTGGGCTGCGTGAGCGCCTCTGGGGCGTCCCCGGAGCCGTTGTGGGGCATTTTAAGTCGATCAAGACAGGGACCCTTCCCGCACGCGCGGGCCCCTGCATTGTAGAGAAGACTGGTGTGAACCCGTGGAAAATCCACGGCCCGCAGATCCAGGCGTTGGTCCCGAACGCGCACGTGTCGGAAGCGCTGGAAGGGTCAAAAGTAATGTGTTTTTTCTAATCGCGCGAGGCCTGGGCGCGATTAGCAGAAACACGTAGGTTTTCGGACACAATCAGAGTAAGGGGGCCCGAACGATCTTACAGAGTCCCTGTGCGCGAGAAGTTCGATGTGGGGGGTGGACGCGCGGGGGCCAGAGTTACGTTGGTGGGCCTCGTTTGAGGGCCACGTTGGGGGGTCTCGTCAGGGGGTCATGATTGGGGGCAACGTTCGCGGCCCTGCCGGGGGCCATGTTTGGGGGCCGTGTGCGGGGTTCGGGGGCACATGTGACGGTCGCGTTTGAGGGTGCGGGGTTCGGGGGCAGATGTGACGGTCACGTTTGAGGGCAATGGTTGGGGGCTGTGTGTCTTGGGGCCACGTTTGGGGGCGCCTGGGGGCTACGCGTGGGGTTGACGTTCGGGGGCCACGCTTACTGGGGCGCTAGGGGCGACCTTCGGAGGCTTTGTGTGGGGGCCGCCTTTGGGGGTCCCGTTTGGAGGCCACGCGTGGGGCCGACGTGTAAGGGGCCACGTCCAGGGGCGATCCCAGAAAGCAGTCGGGGAGCCCCGGGGGCACTGACCTGGAAGCGTGAAAAGGAATGGGTATTTGCTAATCTCGCTGGGACTGTGCGCGATCACCCCAAATTCAAGGCATGGTCCACGGGGCCCTCGAGGCACGTCTCTGGGGCATTTCGAGGCCGTCGTGGGGCTCTGGCCGGATCGGCTTCGGCTCTCTTGGACTTCTTCGGGGCCGTCTTGGAGCGATGTGGGGGTCCGGGAGCCGTCGGGGAGCGCTCCAGGGGCGTCCTGGGGGCGTCGGGGAGCGGCTCAGAGCTCTGGCAGGTCGAAGCCAACAGAATCGAGAGAGCAGCGGTGAGGCCCCCGATACAACCAAGGGTGCGGGTACTGGTATACGTAGGGTCCCCGAACCCGCTGTAGTGGCCTGCGAGCAATCTCACCGAGGGCCTGGGTAATGGGTAAGAGATCTCGTAGATGTTGGTCAGGATCTCATGGTTGGCCTCTCGGGAGCCTCTGGGAGACAGTTTGGGGGCTTCTTGGTAGCAGGTAGGGGGCGTCTTGGGGCCTCTTGGGCCCTCTTTTGGGGCCTCTTGGGGGCCTTTGGGGGCGCTTGGCGGCCTCTGGGGGGCCTCTTGGAGCCTCTGTGGGGCGTCCTGGGGCCTCCCGGGGATGTCTTAGGAGCGTCCCGGCGTTTCTTTGGGGCGTCTTGGGGCTTCCTGGGGGCCTCTTGGGGTGGAGGCCTCGATTTTTCGGTTCCGGGTCCCTGTCTTGGGCCTCTCTTGGGGCCTTCTTGGGGCCCTCTTGGGCCGTCTTGGGCGACTCCTGGGCCGTCTTGGGGCCCTCTTGGGCCGTCTTGGGGCCGTCTTGAAGGCCTCTTGGGCCGTCTTGGAACGGTCTTGGGGGCCTCTTGGGCGGTCTTGGAGCGTCGGAAGGCCGAAAAAGCGAGAAGGCCAGAAACATCAAAAAAAAATGATAATCAACGATTTTGGCTTCTGCGGCCCCTCTTGGAGGTACAATTCGAGCGCTCTGGGGGCCTCGTGGAGGCGTCTCGGGCCGTCTTGAAGGCGTCTTGAAGCCATCTTAAGCGTCTCGGATACACTATTGGCAGCGGCCCGGAGGCTCTCCGGGCGGCCCGCGAGCTCTCTGGGCGGCCCGGGGCGCTGCCGCTGCGTGTACTTCTCGTGCGCGCTTCGCCCGGAATTGTAGTACAGACTAGTGTGAACCCGTGGAAAATCCACGGCCCGCAGGTCCAGGCGTTGGTCCTGAACGCGCACGTGTCGGAAGCGCTGGAAGCGACAAAAGTAATGTGTTTTTGCTAATCGCGCGAGGCCTGGGCGCGATTAGCAGAAACACGTAGGTTTTCAGATGCAATCAGAGTAAGGGGGCCCGAACGATCTTACAGAGTCCATGTGCGCGAGAAGTTCGATGTGGGGGGTGGACGCGTGGGGGCCAGAGTTGGGCGCTACGTTGGTGGGCCTCGTTTGAGGGCCACGTTGGGGGTCTCGTCAGGGGGTCATGGTTGGGGTCAACGTTTGCGGCCCTGCCGGGGGCAATGTTTGGGGGCCGCGTGCGGGGTTCGGGGGCACATGTGACGGTCGCGTTTGAGGGTGCGGGGTTCGGGGGCAGATGTGACGGTCACGTCTGAGGGCAATGGTTGGGGGCTGTGTGTCTTGGGGCCACGTTTGGGGGCGCATGGGGGCTACGCGTGGGGTTCTCTTGGGCGTCTTTGGGGCCGTCTTGGAGCGATGTGGGGGTCCGGGAGCCGTCGGGGAGCGCTCCAGGGGCGTCCTGGAGCCGTCGGGGGGGTGGCTCGGAGCTCTGGCAGGTCGAAGCCAGCAGAACCGAGAGAGCAGCGGTGAGGCCCCCGATACAGCCAAGGGTGCAGGTGCTGGTATACGTAGGGCCCCCGAACCGGCTGTATTGGCCTGCGGGCAATCTCGCCGCGGGCCTGGGTAATGGGTAAGAGATCTCGTGGATGTTGGTTGGGATCTTGTGGTTGGCCTCTCGGGAGCCTCTGGGAGACAGTTTGGGGGCTTCTTGGTAGCAGTTTGGGGGCGTCTTGGGGTCTCTTGGGCCCTCTTTGGGGGCCTCTTGGGGGCCTTTTGGGGCGCTTGGCGGCCTCTGGGAGGGCCTCTTGGAGCCTCTTTGGGGCGTCCTGGGGCCTCCTGGGGATGTCTTGGGAGCGTCCCGGCGTTTCTTTGGGGCGTCTTGGGGTTTCCTGGGAGCCTCTTGGGGTGGAGGCCTAGATTTTTCGGTTCCGGGTCCCTGTCTTGGGCCTCTCTTGGGGCCTTCTTGGGGCCCTCTTGGGCCGTTTAGGGCGACTCTTAGGCCGTCTTGGGGCCCTCTTGGGCCGTCTTGGGGCCGTCTTGAAGGCCTATTGAGCCGTCTTGGAACGGTCTTGGGGGCCTCTTGGACGGTGGAGCGTCGGAAAGCCGAAGAAGCGAGAAGGCCAAAAACATTTGAAAGAAAAAATGAAAATGGACGATTTTGGCTTCTGCGGCCCCTCTTGGAGGTGCAATTCGAGCGCTCTGGGGGCCTCGTGGAGGCGTCTCGGGCCGTCTTGAAGGCGTCTCGAAGCCATCTTCAGCGTCTCGGATACACTCTTGGACCGTTTTGGGCCGTCTTCGGGACCTCCTGACGCCGTCTTGGAGCGATCTGGGAATCCTGGATCAGTCCGCGAGCAGTCCGGGGCCTCCTGGGCCCGTCGGGCAGCGGCCCGGAGGCTCTCCGGGCGGCCCGCGAGCTCTCTGGGCGGCCCGGGGCGCTGCCACTGCTTGTCCTTTTCGCGGGCGCTTCGCCCAGAATTGTAGTACAGATGACGTTGGGCTCTAGCTTCGCCTCCCACATCTCGCCCAACAGCGCCAGCGCCCGCTGCCACTGCTCGCCCTTCTCGCACGCACTTATCCCAGCGCTGTAGCTGACTAGGGCTGACCCGTGGACTACGTCCACTTGCGGGGTGAAGGGGTGCTGCTGCAAGGCAGGATGAATGGCGTCATGTTCGCCTGCCACACATCGCTGAGCGAGGAGACGGAGGAGCGTCTGGACGCCCCACCTGGGGCGCTCAAGGGCTCCCTTGGGATCGGGTCAGGCTTTGTCGGTGCGTTGGGTCCGACTTTCTCGGGGCGTTCTGGGGCCGTCTGGGGGCCCTCCGAAGGGCCCCAAGATCACCAACACGCCTCCAAGATAGCTCCATAATGGCCACCGGCCCAGAATCGGCGGGACCGGTTCTGGGCCACCGCGCCGCCGACCCACAATCCCGCCCGACGCGCCCTTGGCGACCGCGCGCGCTTCCGGGGTCGGCCGAGGCGGTTCTGGGCCACCAAAAAAGCGAAACACGGCATGGCCCCAAGAGGCCGCGGAGAGGGCTCCAGACCGACAAAAGGGATTTTGAATCCAAATCCGGCAGGGAGCGCCAAACAAGCATCAGAGGCTCATGGTGCGCTGGAAGCCGTTTTGGGACTGTCCGTGGCCGTCTTAGGCCGTCTTTGGCTGCTGTTGGTGTTGTCTTCGGTGCTTTTCGGGCCGTGATCTTTGGGCCCCTGGGGGTCGCTTTGGCCTCTCAGCGTTTCTTATCGGCCTCCTCCTGGAACCCTCCTGGGCTTGAACTGTTTCGGGTGCCTCTTGGGCCGTGTGGTGGCGGTCTGTCTTGGACGTCTCTGGAGCAGTCTGGGCACCGTCCGGGAGTCGTCGAAGGCCGTCCTGGGCCGCTACTGAAGCTGTTTTGGGTGCCCCGTGGGCCGCCAAAGGCGCCTCAGGAGCCGTTCTAACCCTGCGCGGGCGATAGAGATCACCTGGGGAGAATAAAGTTCGGGGGTCTGGCGGGGATCATAATGGATTTTCCAAGGCAAGGTAAGTGATGATGATGATGATGATGATGATGATGATGACGATGACGATGCTGATGTTGATGCTGATGCTGATGATGATGAATATGATGATGAGGATGATGATGATGCTGAGGATGATCCAGATGACTGGTTCGAAAAATCTCGATGCTCGTGGTTATACAACTTGCCAGCAGGCGCTCGGCACAAGACGAAGCTGATGTGGTGAGACCACCATGGCCATGCTCAGCGGTTTTGATGCCGTTGCCAGTCAACATGAGACGATAGCAACTTCGATTCGCAACTTCCCCCGTGGATTATAAAGTTCGGCCTCCGCGCCCCTCTCCACAATTAAATCCGGTTGAAAAGGGGGCAATGAAAATAGAGGGGGCTAAGGGGGTACATTATGATCGCCCGCACTCGGTTAGGGCCATACTGGGCCTCTGTATGGCCGTATTTGACGCCATGAAGAGAGCAAGCTCAGGAACTGCCAGAATTTACGTTTTCCCGCGGGAATGGGACGATTTTTCCGTGTTCGGGCTCTCTTGGGGCTCGTCGAGGAGCACTTGGAGCGTTTTGGAAGCCCCTTGGGCCGCCTGCAGGCCATCTGAGGCGTTCTCGGGGCCGTCAGGAGGTTGCCTGGGTCCGCCTTGGGCGTCGCTGGAGCAGTCTGGGCACCGTCTGGCGGTCGTCTTGGGCCGTCCTGAGCCGTTCTTGAGGCTGTCTTGGGTACCCCGTGGGCCACCAGGGATGCCTCAGGAGCCGTCCTGGGGTCGTCGTGGGCGGTCTTGGGGCCCCCATGGGGGCATCTTAGGGCGATTTTAGGGGTCTCTATGGCCGTCGTGGACGCGTCGGAAACGAAAAGCACGATAATGCCCCAAATGCGTTTTTTTCCGCAGGGAATGGGATGATTTGGGCCTCCTGGGGCCTGGGAGGTCCTCCAGGGCCGTCTTGGGAACCTCCTCGCCTGCCTTGGGAACTTCTGGGGCCGTCGAGGCGTCTGTGGGCCGTCTTGGGCGCGTCTTGGGGCCCTCTTGGCCCGTGTGGAGGCTTCCCTGGGCGGCCTGGGGCGTCGTGGGGCCAGCCCGAGGCCGGTGCGGCGCGAATGGCCAAGACGGTCCAAGATGGCTCTCAGAGGGCCTCCGAAGGCCACTATCGCTTACTGTGAGCTCGCTCTGGGCGCCAAAGGGCCCTGCGGACCATTTTTCCGAGAAAAAGTGTTCGCAGACCCCCTTGGGGGCCACTTGACATGACATGGTGACGTTTTCGCGCCGCGACGGCTCCGGTGGGTTGCACGCGCGGCTGACAGCTGGGCCGTTCGAGCCCGCGAGGCTGTGGAAGGCGAAGGCTCCGAGGTGATGGCAAGATGCCTGGAGGAGAGCGTGGATTTGTCGGGGCGCCTGAGCGGCGCGAATGGCCAAGATGGCTCAAGATGGCGTTCAGAGCGGCGAGAACGGCCAACGCGGCCCAAGATGTCGGGGGCCCGAGCGGCGCGAATGGCCAAGACGGGCCAAGGTGGCTCTAAGAGGGCCTCCGAAGGCCACTATCGCATACTGTAGCCTTGCTCTGGGCGCCAAAGGGCCCTGCGGAGCATTTTTCTAAGAAAAAGTACTCGCAGATCCCTTTGGGGGCCACTTGACACGGCATGGTGACGTTTTCTCGTCGTGACGGCTCCGGCGGGTCGCACGCGCGGCTGCTGGCCCAGCGACGACGACGGCGACGACGAAGACGACGACGACCCCACGGACCGAAATCCATTAGAAGAGGCTTTGCAAACCATTGTGTTCTCCGATGTCTTCTGCATTGTCGCTTTTTGAAAGGTCCCCCCGTGCGCCCCTGGAAATGTGGGAAACCCCATGTATCTGGAGTTGTCGTTGAAGGCCCCCTGCTGGGAGGACCGCTTCGGCAGAGCGCCCGGTTTCCGCCGAGGTTGGCACATGCAATTTTTACGTTGGTTTTGGGGCGATTTGCAAGGACACACGGGGAGAAGGATCGGGTTTTCATAGATGCCCGCCAGGGTCCCCGCAGGAGTGTCCTGGCTAAGATACGCGACGATGGTGAAGATGATGATTGCGAAAACGAGGATGACGAATATGATGACGATGATGCTGATGGTGATGATGACGATGGTGGTGATGAGGATGAGGATGGTGAGCGTGCAGAGGCCGAGCGTAACAAATAAAATGCTGGAACCACGGAGGTCGACGATGCCAACACTGACGACGTAACGACGACGACAACGACGGCGGTGGCGGCTGTGGTGGCGGTGGCGGCGGCGACGACGCGGTAGCGGCAGGGGGAGCGGCGGCGGCGGCCGCGGAGGTGGTGGCGGCGACGGCGGTGACGCGCCTCCGCGTCTGAGCTGTCGAAGCGCTCGAGCAGCTCGGCCTCTCCGGGGTCATCAAATTCGGGCCTCTTGGGAGCTGTCTGGGGGCCTCTCGGGGATCATTGTTGGCCTCCTGGGGGACTCTTGGGGCCCTCTTTGCGCGTCTTGGGCCCATCGTGGGGCGTCCCGGGGCCCTCTGGGGCCGTCTTGGGCTGTCTTGGGGCGTCTTGGGACCGTCTGGACGCCCTCTTGGCCCGTCTTGAGGCCCTCTTGCGGGCCTCGTCGGTGGTCTTGGAGCGGTCTTGGGGACCTCTTCGGCCGTCTTGGAGCGCAGGGACGGCGAAAAGGGGAGAATGCGGAAAACATCGAAAAACACAATGGAAATCGACGATTTCTCCCGCTCGGGGCCCTGCTGGGAAGCCTCTTGGGAGGCCTCTTGGGGTATTTTGGCCGCCTCTGGGGCCGTCTTGGCCCAATCTTCGGCGTCTTGGGCCCATCTTGGGGCGTCCCGGAGCCTTCTGGGGCCGTCTTGGGGGCCTATTGGGGCCCTCTTGGCGCGTCTTGGGCCTATCTTGGGGCGTACCGGGGCCCTCTGGGGCCGTCTTGGGGGGCCGTCTTGGGCTGTCTTGGGGCGTCTTGGGACCGTCTGGGGGCCCTCTTCGCCCGTCTTGAGGCCCTCTAGCGGGCCTCGTCGGTGGTCTTGGAGCGGTCTTGGGGACCCCTTGGGCCGTCTTGGAGCGCAGGGACGGCGAAAAAGGGAGAATGCGAAAAACATCGAAAAGCACAATGGAAATCGACGATTACTCCCGCTCGGGGCCCTGCTGGGAAGCCTCTTGGGAGGCCTCTTGGAGCATTTTGGCCGCCTCTGGGGCCGTCTTGGCCCAATCTTCGGCGTCTTGGGCCCATCTTGGGGCGTCCCGGAGCCTTCTGGGGCCGTCTTGGGGGCCTCTTGAGGCCCTCTTGGCGCGTCTTGGGCCCATCTTGGGGCGTCCTGGGGCCCTCTGGGGCCGTCTTGGAGGCCTCTTGGGGCCCTCTTGGCGTGTCTTGGGCCTGCTACGCCATTTGACCAGAATCGCCCTTCTCGCACGCGCGGGGCCCTGAATTGTAGTATAGATGACGTTGGGCTCCAGCTTCAACTCCCACATCTCGCTCAGCAGCGCCAGCCCCTGCTGCCACTGCCCGCCCTTCTCGCACGCGCTGATCCCGGCATTGTAGCTGACTAGTGCGAACCCATGGAAAATCCACGGCCCGCAGGTCCAGGCGTTGGTCCCGAACTCGCACGTGTCGCCGAGGCCTCAAGTGACCCCCAGCAGGGCCCAGCACAGCCGCAGATGCCGCCCACGGGAGCCCAACGCGAGGTCCGAGACGGCCTCACACCCCCAAGATTGCCCCAAGCCTCCCCACGAGGCGCCCGACCCAAGAGGGCTATCGTAACCGATTAAGACCGGGCGTGGAGGTCTCAAAAAGCATCGGGTTTTCGCTAATCGCGCCCGGCCTCTCCGCGATTAGCGAAAATCCAAAGGTTCTGGCCATTCCACTGCACCAGGATGGGCCCCCACACGTACTCCAAGGCCTTGGACACCGCCCAAGACGATCTGAGTTTCCCGAGGTTTCGGCTTCCCAGGGCCCTGCATCGATACAGCCAAGGGTGCGGGTGCTGGGATACGTAGGGCCCCCGAACCGCTGTAGTGGCCTGCGGGCAATCTCGCCGCGGGCCTGGGTAATGGGCAAGAGATCTCGTGGATGTTGGTTGGGATCTCCTTTTGGGGCGCTTGGCGGCCTCTGGGGGGCCTCTTAGAGCCTCTTTGGGGCGTCCCGGAGCCTCCTGGGGAAGTCTTGGGAGCGTCCCGGCGTTTCTTTGGGGCGTCTTGGGGCTTCCTGGGGGCCTCTTGGGGTGGAGGCCTCGATTTTTCGGTTCCGGGTCCCTGTCTTGGGCCTCTCTTGGGGCCTTCTTGGGGCCCTCTTGGGCCGTCTTGGGCGACTCTTGGGCCGTCTTGGGGCCCTCTTGGGCCGTCTTGGGGCCGTCCTGAAGGCCTCTTGGGCCGTCTTGGAACGGTCTTGGGGGCCTCTTGAGCGGCCGTGGAGCGTCGGACAGCCGAAAAAACGAGAAGGCCAGAAACATTCAAAAAAGCAAAGAAAATCAACGATCTTGGCTTCTGCGGCCCCTCTTGGAGGTGCACTTCGAGCGCTCTGGGGGCCTCGTGGAGGCGTCTCGGGCCGTCTTGAAGGCGTCTTGAAGCCATCGTAAGCGTCTCGGATACACTCTTAGACCGTCTTGTGCCGTCTTCGGGACCTCCTGAGGCCGTCTTGGGGCGATCTGGGAATCCTGGATCAGTCCGCGAGCGGTCCGGGGGCCTCCTGGGCCCGTCGGGCAGCGGCCCGGAGGCTCTCCGGGCGGCCCGCGAGCTCTCTGGGCGGCCCGGGGCGATGCCACTGCTTGTACTTCTCGCACGCGCTTCGCCCGAAATTGTAGTACAGATGATGACTAGTGTGAGCCCGAGGAATTAAATCAATGGTTTCCTGAACCTGGGGCTCGCAAGCCGTGGGTTTAACCCACAGAATGAGTCGTCGACGAACAGCTCGTGGAGCTCGTGGAGAGGACGGGGGGAGGACAAGAGTGCAGGTGGACCTCGGAGCGCCTGAGCGTGCTGCGGCAGCGACTCCGTGGAGGAGGGAATAGGTGACTTCCTGTCGGGAAGAGCTGCGCTGTTGCCCTTAACACCGAGTGGAACGCTCAACCCTGCGCGATCGACAGCTTCGAAATCGCGAGATCGTTCACGTCGGCCGATTCCGGACCAATGTCGGCGTTGAGCCTCCTGGGGGCCTGCCTGAGGCCTGTGGGGCCACCCTTGGGATATTTGGGGTGTCCCTCGGGGCCGTGTCAAGGGCCTTCTGCGAGGCTGTCTGGGGCATCTGGAAAGCCCCTTGCGGCCTCTGGTACCGTCCCCGGGCTGTCCCCCGGAGCCCCTTTCGGAGGACAGCCTGGGAAGCTGATTTTGGAATCGCCATGGAGCCTTCGTGGGGCGTCCTTGGGGCTCTCAAGGGCTCTGTGGGGACTCTTGTGGCAGTCTTGGAAGGCAGATGGGGCTCTTGGGGGCCGTCTTCGAGCGCTCTTGGGCCATCTTGGGGCCCTTTTGGGCCGTCCAGGGCCTCTCTTGGGAGCCTGATGGGCAGAGATGGGGCGATCTAGGAGGCGCTGGGAGCCGTCTGGAGCTGGGTTTAAGACGACTTGGGAACCTGAAAATCATTCGAAAACTATCATGGACCTACGATTTGGGCCTTGCGGGGCTGTCGTCGGGGTCCTCTCGGGCTGTCTGTTGTCTTTGGGCTGCCTTGGGCCATCATGAGGCTCGCTTCGGGCTCTCTAGGACCACCTCGGTATCGTTTCACCAATCCCCAGCCCCATCCCCATCCCCTTCGAGACCCCCACCAACTTACCACCCCAGTTGGGGATACACCCCTCGAAACCAAAAGGGAGCGACCAATATCCCCATCTAGGGGGGGAATCGGTCAGCGGGACCCAGGCTACGCCGCTGGGGACGGGAATCGGTTAAACGATACTGACCATCCGCGCGCTCCCTGGAGCGTCTCTGAGCCGCCGTTGGGCGTCTTGGAGCCTTCTGGCGACCGCCCAGGGCCGTCCACGACCGCCCCGGGAGCGCCCAAGGCGCCCCAGGAGCGCCGGGGAGCCGCCTCGGCCCGCTGCCACTGCAGCGCGAACTCGCACGCACCGAGCCGAGCATTGCACTGCAGATGACGTCGGGCTCCAATGTCGCCGCCCACATCTCGCAAAGCAGCGCCGAAGCCCGCTGCCACTGCCCGCCCTTCTCGCACGCGCTGATCCCAGCGTTGTAGCTTAGACTGGGGCTGACCCGTGGACTCCGCCCGCGACATCTGGCCAAGAGTATTCTGGAGGGGGGAGCGGCGGGAATGGTGCCGAAAGGCTCTCCGCCCCTTCCGCGACAGCGCCCCGAGCTGCACCGGCACGCTCCGTGGCGCCTGCTGGCGCCACCCGACGGGGGCGATGACGGCGGCGGCGGCGGCGAGACACAGAACGCTTGCGGGGAGGCAGTTCGGGCGCGCCGCGCCCCTGCGCGCTGATCCCACGGTCAGCCACTTGGGGTCTCCTGGGGGCCGTGTGGGAGCCTCTTGGAGCTTCGTTTGGGCTTCCAGGGGGCCTCTGGGGGCCCTCATGGGCTCTCGTCGGTGCCGTTTCGGCCGTCTCGGAACCGTCCTGGGCCGTTTCGAGCGCCTCTTGGGCCGTCTGGGAGCCGTCTGGGACCGTACTGGCGGCTCTTGGGGCTCTCTTGCGTGCCCTCGGGGCCGTGTTGGAGCCGTCGTGGGCCGTCTTGGGCGCCTATTGGGCCGTCTTCGGGCCGTCTAGGGCCGTCTTTGGGGCTGTCGTGGGTCCAAGAGGGCTCCAAGAGGGCCCCAGGACGCCGCTGGGCGCGGGCCCACCATCCTGCAATGAGAGGCCTTTCTGTGGCAGAATGCGCCCGGCCGTCTTCGAGGGGCCCGAAGGCCTCAAGAGGGCCCCAAGAGCGCCCCAAGGGGGCCCCAAGAGGGCCCCAAACCGCATGTACCTGATCTGCTTCTTGGGCTTGCGAGATGGGCACCCGAGTACATGCGTCTTGGGGCCTTGTCGGGGCCATCTTGGGGACCTCCTGGCCCCTCTTGGGGCCCTCGGGAGCGCTCCCACCCTGTCCTGCCCTCCTCTGGGGGCCGCCATGGGTGCCTGAGGAACCGTCCTGGCGCAGTCTTGAGCCGTCTTGGGGCCCTCCTGGCAGCCTCCTAAGACGTCTTGGGACGATCTTGAGGGCCTGCGTGGCCGTTTTGAAAGCTTCGAAGACGAAAAGCACAGGAACTCCCGAAATGTGCTTTTTCCCTTGGGATTGAGACGATTGTTCCTTGTTCGGGCTCTCCTGGGCTCTCTATGGAGCCCATTTGGAGCATTTTGAGGGCCTCTTGGGCCGTCGGGCGGCTGTCTTGGGCGTCTTCGAGCGCTCGGGGCCCGTCTCGGAGGCCCTATTGGACCGAAGAGGGGCCCTCTTGGGGGCTTCTGGGGGCGGCTCGGAGCGCTCTTAGGCCATCTTGGACGCGTGCCGGGGCCCCAGGGCCCTCTGGGGAAGGTTCTGGGGACGTGTCATGGAGCACCTTGGAGGCCTCTCGGGCCGGCTTGGGCCAATCTTGGGCCAATCTCGAGCTTCTGGGGCCCACCTGGGGGCCTGTTGAGCCGGCTTGTAAGCCCTTTGGGCCTGTCTTGGGGCTCTCTTGGGGGCCTCTTCGGCCGTCTTGGAGCCGCCTTGGGGGCGTCTTCGGCGGTCGTGGATCGTCTGGAAGCCGACAAGGCGAGAACGGCAAAAACCTCGCAAAAAAACAATGTAAATATGTGTTTTTGTTCTTGCTCGGGGCCATCCGGGGGAAGCTTCTGGGGAGGTCTCATGGAGCACCTTGGAGACCTCTCGGGCCAACTTGGGCCTCTTGGGGCCCTCTTGGCATGTCTTGGAGCCTCCCTGGGCGTCCCTGGGCGGCCCGGGGCCAGCCCGGGGCGGTTTTGACTTCATTGACCCTGCGGCATTCTGGCACGCACGACCCCCGTTGAGCCGACTTGGAGGCCCTTTGGGCCCGTCTTGGGGCTCTCTTGGGGGCCTCTTCGGCCGTCTTGAAGGCGTCTTGGGAACGTCTTGGGCCGTCGTGGATCGTCTGGAAGCCGACAAGGCGAGAACGGCAAAAACCTTTGAAAAAAACAAGGAAATCAATGTGTTTTCCTGCCCGGGGCCCTCTGGAGAAGCTTCTGGGGAGGTCTCATGGAGCACCTTGGAGACCTGTCGGGCCGACTTGGGCCTCTTGGGGCTCTCTTGGCGTGTCTTCGAGCCTCTCTGGGCGGCCCGGGGCGGCCCGGGGCCAGCCCAGTGCGATTTTGCCCCAGTTGATCCTGCGGCGTTCTGGCACGCTCGGCCCCCAGCATTAGAATATAGATGACCAGGGCTGACCCGCGGCCTTCTGGCCGCGGCATCTGCCCGCCATGATGTGGACGTGGAGGTGGGGCGTCTCCAGGGCCTCGCGGGAGAGAGGGGGGGAAGTTGGAGGGGACGGTCTGGATTGAGGAGGTGGCCGCTGGAGGGAGAGATGGGCGAGGGATGCAGGCAAGCAGGCCTGAAGGCACGAACGCGGTGGTGGAAGCGGTGTCATTGGAAGCATACCTATGCAGGCACGACGTGGTGTGGACAGAAGCTGTTTCTCACGCCGCGCTGCGGGGCGGGTCGCCGTGATAAGTTAATATGTTTTTCGTCGGGGCCGAATGATCATCTTATATGGCAGTGTGGTGAGAATGGGGCCGGTGGGGGCGGCCTAAGAGGCCCGCAAGAGGGCGACGAGACGAGCCTCCCAGACGGCCATGAGGGCCCCACGAACTCACTAAGACGGGACCCAGTGCGAGGACACGAATCGACCTTTCGAGCTCACCGTCCCAAGACGTCCCCTAAAGGTGCAGAGATGGCTCCCAGAGGGTCCAAGAGGCCTTCAAGGACGACGCAGGAAGTTCGATGCTCCCCAATAGAGAAGCATCCAAGGCCTCTTGGCGGCCGTTTTGACTCTCTTTTCGTCCTCCTGGGGGTCTCTCGGAGCCCTCTTGAGCCGTCTCGAGTGCCTCTTGGGCTGTTTGGGGGCGATGTGGAGCCGTCTTGGGTGCCTTTCGAGCCTTCTCGCCCCTTTCGCACGCGCAACGACCAGAATTGTAGGAGAGATGACGTTGGGCCCCAGTTTCACCTCACGCATCTCGCTCAGCAGCGCCAGCGCCCGCTGCCACTGCTCGCCTTTCTCGCACGCGCTGATCCCAGCGCTGTAGCTGACTAGGGCAGACCTGTGGACTCCGTCCACGACATCAGCTCGACGTGGCGAGGGGTCTCTGGGCAAGCGCGGGGGGGGTGCGGCTGCGGGGCCGAAAGGCAATCATTGTTCTTGTGTGCCTTCGATATGCCGGTCGCCTCTCGTCCGCTCCCCCCCTCCTGGAAGCAATTCTGAGGCCACTTAGGGCTTCGTGGGGGCCGTTTGGGGATCTCTTCGGGCGTTTTTGCCTGCGATATGCCTGTCGCCTCTCGTCCGCCGCTCCCCCGCTCCTGGAGGGAATTCTGAAGCCACTGAAGGCTTCGTAGGGGCCGTTTCGGAGCCTCTTCGGCCTTCTTTTGGGCCTCCCGGGGGGGGCTCTTAGGGCCCTCTCGGGCCGTCTTGGGTGCCTCTTGGGCCGTCTTGGGGCCGTCTGAGGCCCGCCTTGGCGCCTCTTGGGCTGTCTTGGGCCGTCTTGGGCCGCTCCTGGGGCCGTCTTGGGTGCCTCTTGGGCCGTCTTGGGCGCCTCCTGGGCCGTCCTGGGGCCGTCCTGGGGCGTCTTGGGACCGTCTTGGGGCCCTCCTGGCCCGTCTTGGGGCTCTCTTGGGGTCCTCTTCGGCCGTCTTGGAGCGGTCGGGGGGACTTCTTGGGCCGTCTTGGAGCGTCGGGAAGCCGAAGAGGCGAGGAGGCCGAAAACATGAAAAACACAATGGAAATCGACGATTTCTGTCGCTCGGGGCCCTCTTGGGAGGCCTCTTGGGAGGCCTCTTCGGGCGTCTTGGACGCCTCTTGGGCCGTCTGGGGCGAATCTCGGGCGTCTTGGGCCCATCTTTAAGCGTGCCGGGGCTCTCCGGGGCCGTCTTGGGGGCTTCTGGGGGCCCTCTCGACATGTCCTGGAGCCTGCCTGGGCGGCCCGGGGCGGCCCGGGGCCAGCCCGGGGCGGTTTCGGTGCATTGGGGCCTGCGCCCTTCTGGCACGCACTGGGCCCTGCAATGTAGTAGAGACTAGGGCTGACCCGTGGACTACGTCCACTTGCGGGGTGGAGGGAGTACTGCTGGAAGGCGCACCTGATGACGTTGGGCTCCTTGTTCGCCTGGCCAACGACGCTTGTCATGAGGACCCTCTCGAAACGCTCTCGGAGGCTTCATGGCCGCCGCTTGTTGTGCTGAGTGCTGCCTGCTGCTACTCGCTGCTGTTTGCTTTGTCGTTCTTCTGCTGCCGCCTGCGGTTTGACTGGTGTGGGCTGCTGCTTGCTACGGCTTGGTGCTGCTGCTAGCTTTTTGCCTGGTGCTGGATGTTGCTGCATTCTGCATGATGCTGAATGACGCTTGCGTTGCCAACGCGTGCTGCTGATGCTGCACGGCTCTTTAGTGTCTGCGAAATGCCTGTCGCCTCTCGTCCGCTCCCACCCTCCTGGAGGCAATTCTGAAACCACTTAGGGCCTCGTGGGGGCCGTTTCGGAGCCACTTGGGGTCTTCTGGGCCTCCCGGGGAGGCTCTTAGGGCCCTCTTGGGCCGTCTTGGGTGCCTCTTGGGCCGTCTTGGGGCCAGCTGAGGCCGGCTTGGGCGCCTCTTGGGCTGTCCTGGGCCGTCTCGGGCCGCTCTTGGGGCCGTCTTGGGTGCCTCTTGAGCCGTCTTGGGCGCCTCCTGGGCCGTGCTGGGGCCGTCTTGGGGAGTCGTGGGGCCCTCTTGGCCCGTCTTCGGGCTCTCTTGGGGCCCTCTTCGGCCGTCTTGGAGCTGTCTGGGGGACCTCTGGGACCGTCTTGGAGCGTCGGGAAGCCGAAAAGGCGAGGAGGCCGAAAACATCGAAAAACAGATTGGAAATCATCGATTTTTGCCACTCGGGACCCTCTCTTGGGGCATCTTGGAGACCTCCGGAGCCGTCTTGGGCCAATCTTGAGCGTCTTGGGCTCATTTTTGGGCGTGCCGGGGCCCTCTGGGGCCATCTTGAAGGTCTCTTGGGGCCTTCCTTGGCGCGTCTTGGAGCGTCTCGGAGCGCGCCGGGGCCTGCTGGGGCCCGTCTTGGGGCCCTCTTGGCCCGTCTTGGGGCTCTCTTGGGGCCCTCTTCGGCCGTCTTTGAGCGGTCTGGGGGACCTCTGGGACCGTCTTGGAGCGTCGGGAAGCCGAAAAGGCGAGAAGGCCGAAAACATTGAAAAACACAATGGAAATCATAGACTTTTGCCACTCGGGGCCCTGTTGGGAGGCCTCTTGGGAAGCCTCTTGGGGCGTCTTGGAGACCTCTGGAGCCGTCTTGGGCCAATCTTGAGCGTCTTGGGCTCATTTTTGGGCGTGCCGGGGCCCTCTGGGGCCATCTTGAAGGTCTCTTGGGGCCTTCCTTGGCTCGTCTTGGAGCGTCTCGGAGCGCGCCGGGGCCTGCTGGGGCTCGTCTTGGGGCCCTCTTGGCCCGTCTTGACGCTCTCCTGGGGGTCTCTTCGGCTGTCTTGGAGCGGTCGTGGGGACCTCTGGGGCCGTCTTGGAGCCTCGGGAAGCCGAAAAGGCGAGAAGGCCAAAAACATCGAAAAACACAATGGAAAGCCACGATTTCTGCCACGCGGGACCCTCTTAGGAGGCCTCTTGGGAGGCTTCTTGGGCCGTCTTGGAGGTCTCTGGAGCCGTCTTGGGCCAATCTCGAGCGTCTAAGCCCATCTTTGGGCGTGCCGGGGCCCTCCGGGGCCGTCTTGGTGGCCTCTCTGGGCCCTTTTGGCGTGTCTTGGGGCCTCCCGAGGCGGCCCGGGGCGGCCCGGGGCCAGCCTGGGGCTGTAAAGGGACGATTTTGTGCACTTGAGTGCCTGACTTTCTCGCACGCGCTTCCACCCGCCATGTAGGGGAGACTAGGGCAAACCCGTGGACTTCGTCCACGACCAGCAGGACCCCTGGCGGGCCTCCACGTTGGGCCCCCGCCCAGGAAAAAGCCACCCCGAAGCCTTCGGATACTGTTTCCGGCCGCCATTCCGAAGTTGGAAGGCGGGCGCTTCCTCCTCTTCGTCCGCCTTCCGCTCCACGTCCGCCTGGACAGCCTTCGGAGCATCACAGACGGCTATGGTGGGTCTGCGGTGTGCCTCCCGCCGCTTGTCTGCTCCCCCTGGTTTGAACCATTTTGAGAGCACCTGGGGCCGAGAAAAAAGTCACCCGAAGGGCTCTGACGACTTTTTTCCGGTGAACTTTTCGAAGCCTGATAGCGGGCGCTGCCTTCTCCTTGGGAACTGTTCGGGGGCCTCTCGGGGTTCCTTTTCTGCCTCCTGGGGGCCTCTTGGGGCCCTTTTGGGCCGTCTTGCGGCCTCCTGGGGTCCTCTTGGGGCCCTCTTGGGCCGCCTTGGGTGCCTCTCGGGGCCGTCTGGCGCCGTCTTAGGCCGTCTGGGGGCCGTCCAGAGGCCCTCTGGGGCTTTGTACTTCACCGATCGCTCTTTTAATGGGCGTCTCTGGGCCTGTTTGGTGGTCCTTGTGGGAGTCTTTTTCTGGCAATTATGAAGCTTTTTTGGGTTGCCCTTGGAGCGTGTTGGGACGTTTTGGGGCCTTGTTGGGCCGTCACGGGCGTCCAGGAGGCCTTGGACCGTCTTCGAGCTTTCTTGAGGCTGCCTGAGGCCGTCTTGGGAGCCTCTTGAGGCCCCCTCGGAGCTCTCTTGGGGCCGTCTTGGGGTTCTGTGAGGCCGTTTCAGGGCTCTCTGGCGTCCTCTTGGGGCTCTTGTGGGCCGTCTTGGAGCCCTCTTAGGGGCCGCTGGCGTCTTCTTGGGGCGATTTGGGAGGCCTCTTGGCGTGTCCTGGGCCGCTGAGGAGCACACAAGACGGGCATGCTGAAAATAGACATTTTCCCATAGGAATTTGACGATGTGTTCCTCTTTGGCGTGCGCTCGGGGTCCTCTTGGGGCGTCTTTGCGGCCTCTTGGATCGTCGTGGAGACCCCCCCAGGGATGCTTCGGGCCCTCGTCGGCCGTCTCGGGACCCACTGAGGCCGTCTTGGAGCGCTCTTGGACGGTCTGGGAACCCCTCTGGAGCGCCTGTGGGACCGGCCTGAGCGATTCGGCCCCGTGGTGGCGCCGTAAAGGGGCGATTTCGTGCACACGAGGCGTGATCCATTCTTGCACGCGCTTCCACTGGCCATGTAGGAGAGACTACGTAGTGACTAACCCGTAGATGAAATCCACGGTGTGCTGAACCTGGGACTCGCACACCGTGGGTGAGCAGCTCGCCGAAGTGGAATAGCTCGAGCGTCCCTGGCGCCTTGTCGGGGGCTCGTTGGGCCCTCCTGCGAGCCTTTCTGGGGCGGCTTGAAGGCCTCTTGCGGATTTTGGGCGCCTCTGGGGCCGTTCCCAGCCTGTCCCCCAGAGCCTCTTTTGGGAGACACCGCGGGAAACTGATTGTGCGGGCGTGCTGCGAGGTTGCTCTCAGAAAGCTCCCGTGAGAGGACGCAGGGGCCCCCCGACGGATGCTACCACAGGGGGGTGCGTTGTGGCATCCGTCGGGAGGCGAAATGGCTCGGTGTGGAGTATGGGGCTCGGTGTGGGGCTTGCGGGAAGCCGTTTCGGGACGATGCGGGTGTCGTGGGGCCGTCGGCGAGCGCCCAGGGGCCTTCGGGGGCCGTCGGAGGGCGTGCTGGAAGTTCCCTGGGAGACCGCATTGGGCCGAGCTGGGGGCGAGGGAGCCCTGGGCGAGCGGCCCGGAGGCCTTCTGGGGGTGTCGGGGGCTCGGTGTGGGGTACGGGGCCTGGTTCGGGGCCTGCGGGAAGCCGTCTTCGGGCGATGCGGGTGTCGTGGAGCCGTCGGCGAGCGGCCCAGGGGGCCTCTGGGGCCGTCGGGGCCGCGTGCTGCAGAGGCCGTGCTGGGCCGAGCTGGGGGCGAGGGAGCCGCCGACGAGCGGCCCGGGGGCCTTCTGGAGGTGTCGGTGGCTCGGTGTGGGGCACGAGGCCTGGTTTGGGGCTTGCGGGAAGCCGTCTTCGGGCGATCTGGGGGTCGTGGCTCTCTGGGAGGCCGTCTTGGGCCGAGCTGGGGGCGAGGGAACCCCTCGGCGAGCGGCCCGTGGGTCCGGGCTCGGTGTGGGGTATGGGGCTCTTGGGCCGTCTACGGGCCTTCTTGGGCCGTCTGGGGGCCCTCATGGGGCCCCCTTGGACCGTGCAGGGGCGATCTGGGAAGCCCCTGGGGCCATCCTGCTCTCCGGGCGGCCCGCGGCTGTGGGCGGCCCAAGGCGCTGCCACTGCTTCTCGTACTCGCACGCGCTTCGCCCGGAATTGTAATACAGATGACGCTGGGCTCCAGCTTCGCTTGGGGCCTGTTGGGGGCCGCTGGGAAGCATCTTGGGGCCTCCTTTGGGCCTCTGGGGGGCCTCTTGGGGCTGTCTTGAGCGCCTCTTGGGCCGTCTTGCGCCATTTGAAATGTTCTTGGGTGCCTCTAGGGCTGTTTCGAGCCCGTCTTGGGCCGCTGTTCGGGCCCTCTTGGGCTCTCCTGGGCGCCTCGTCGGCTGTTCCGGGGCCGCCTCGGACCGTTCTCGGGCCCCATTGGAGGCCCTCTTGGAGCGTCTTGGGGCGATCTTGGGGGACACGAGGAAAGCGAATATGTGAAAAGTGTGCGCTTCCCCGAAGGATTGGAACGATGTTTGCTTTTGGGAGCCCTCGTGGACATCTCTAGGAAGGGCTTGGAGGCCTCCTTTGGGCCTCTCGGGCGCCTCTTGGGCCGTCTGAAGCCATTTGACGTGTTCTTGGGCGCCTCTAGGGCTGTCTCGGGCTCGTATTGGGCCTCTCTTCGAGGCCCTCTTGGGGCGTCTTGGGGCGATCTTGGGGGCCTGTATGGCCGTCGTGGGTGCCGTGAACACGAGGAAATCGAATATGTGGTGAGTGTGCGCTTTCTGAAAGGATTGGGATTTTTGCTTCTGGGAGCCATCTTGGACGTCGCTCGGAGGAGTTTGGAGGTCTCCTTTGGGCCTCTCGGGCGCCTCTTGGGGCTGTCTTGGGCGCCTTTCTTAAGCCGTTTAGGCGCCTCTAGGGCTGTCTCGGGCTCGTCTTGGGCTGCTCTTCGAACCCTCTTGGGCTGTCTTGAGCGCCTCTTGAGCTGTCGCGGGGCCGCTTTGGACCGTCTTGGGGCCCCCTGGAGGACCTCTTGGGACGTCTCGGGGCGATTTTGGGAGCCTGTATGGCTGTCGTCGGCTCCGTGAACACGAGGAAAGCGAATATGTGAAAATCGTGCGCTTTCCCTGGTAATTGGCACGACTTCTGTTTCTGGGAGCCCTCTTGTACGAGGCCGATGTGGCATCACAGCAGCAGTTCGACCCCTGACTTTCGTCCTGGGCTCGGTTTAGTGAAGTGATGAATTTCGGGGTCCTCACGTGGGAAAAAACATCACTTCACCAATCTGGGGCCCCTGGGGCCTCAGTGGGCCCTGGGGCCCAAAATTAGTGAAGTCATGGTTTTCGGGCCTCGGATCGGGAAGCACGCACGTCTGAACGTCCCGAAACTGTGTCGGGACGTCTCAGGGCGCACCCCGGCGCTCCCTGGCGGCGGTCTGAGGCGCGCCCAGGGCGTGCCAGAGGCCCGCCGAGCGGGACGCGCTGGTGCTGGCCGAATATCGAGCCGGGCGAAAGGGGGGGATAGCAAAGGGGGGTGTTGAGAATCAGCTCACGTAGCTGATTTTCCCAGCGCCTCCCGGCGCCGGGAGGCGGCTATGTATCGAGGAATGGGCCCCTCGGTGACCCCTCTTGGACCGTCTTCGGCCGTTTGGGGTGGTGCGTCTCGGAACGCTCTTGGGCCATCTTGGAAGCGCACCGAGGCCTGCTGGGGCTCGCAGGGGCCGCAAGAAGGGCCGGTCCGCTGCCACCGATCGGCACCTCCACGAGCGCTGGTCCGGCCTTTGTAGGAAAGATGACGTCGGGCTTCAGCTTCGCCTCCCACATCTCCCTCAGCAGCGCAAGCGCCGGCTGCCACTGCCCGCCCTTCTCGCACGCGCTGATCCTAGCGTTGTAGCTGATGACGTTGGGCTCCAGCATCGTCTCCCGCATCTCGCTCAGCAGCGCCAGCGCCCGCTGCCACTGCTCGCCCTTCTCGCACGCGCTGATCCCAGCATTGTAGCTGACCAGGGCTGACCCGCGGCCTTCCGGCCGCGGGGTCTGCCGGCCATGGTGTGGACGTGGAAGTGGGGCGTCTCCGGGGCCTCGCGGGAAAGGGGAGGTTGAAGGGGACGGCGTGGATGGAGGAGGTGGCCGCTGGAGGGGAAGGTGGGCGAAGGATGCAGGCAAGCAGGCCGGAAAGCAGGAACGCGGTGGTGGAAGCGGTGTCACTGGAAGCATACCTACGCAGGCACGACGTGGTGTGGACAGACGCTGTTTCTCACGCCGCGCTGCAGGGCGGGTCGCCGTGATAAGTTAATATGTTCTTCGTCGGGGCCGAATGATCATTGTATATGGCAGTATGGCACGACTGGAGGGGGAAGCTGGAGGGGACGGTCCGGAGGGAGGTGGCCGCGGGAGGGGGGGAGGCGGGCGAGGGAGGCAGCCAGGCAGGCCGGAAGGCAGGAGCGCGGTGGTGGAGGCGGTGCCCATGGAAGCACACCCAGGAGGAGGAGGAGGAGGAGGAGGAGGAGGAGGAGGAGGAGGAGGTGGAGGTGGAGGAAAAGGAGGAGGAGGAGGAGGAGGAGGAGGATGTAGGCACGACATGGTGTGGACCGAAGCTGTTTCTCACGCCGCGCGCTGCGTTCACGACAGCTTCTGCGGGACGGGTCGCCGTGGTGATCGCACCAGCCCTCTGGGCGCAGGTGGTCTAGAGCGTTTCCTTTTCCAACCTCCTGCCTTTCCCTGCTCGGGAGGTTTACCTCCCCCCCCCCTCCCTGCGTCTGGACGGGCTCCCCCGCGAGGTGGCAGAGGGTCTTTTTTGGTCCAAGATGGCTCCAAGAGGGCTTCAGAGAGCCCAAGATGGCCTCCAAGATGGTCGAAGATAGCGGTAGATGGGTCAAGATAGCTTCCGACACACGTCCAAGAGGCCTCAAGACGGCCCCAAGACGGTTTCAGGTACCCTCCGAGGCCTCCAAGGACCCCCCCAAGAGGCCAAAATCCTTCAAAAACCTAAGGAAAATCCATGTGTTTTGCTTTCTCGTTGTTTTGCCTCCGATGGGCTCTTGAGGCCTCAAGATGGCCCCAAGACGGCCCAAGATAGTCCTAGGAGGGGCTGGCCCCAAGAACGCCCAAGAACGCTCCAAGAGCGGGCCAAGAGAGCCCCAAGACGGCATTTTTGAGCCTCCGAGGGGGCGATGGGAATTAAGGACCCCCGTCTTTTTTAGCGATAGGGTCCAAGACGGCCCCAAGAGGCCCCTCAGGCATCCCAAAAGAGCCCCAGGAAGGCCCCCAGACCCCCCAAAAGAGACCCAAGAGGGCTCTAAGACGCCCCATAAGAACCCCAAGAGGGCTCCAAGAAGGCCCTAAGAGGACCTCAAGAGAGCCCCCCACAAAAGCTCCAGGAGGGCCCCAAGAGGGCCCCAAGAGAACCCCAAGAGAGCCCCAAGAGAGCCCCAAGATGGCTCCAAGTTTCGAAACGCACGCGAGCTTAAGATAAAATTCAATGCAACAGCCATGACGAGTCATCGAAACACCCCTCACCCCTCATCGAAGCACCATCGTAGCTTGCACTGATTTTCATCTTAAACTTCAATGCGGGAAGCTTTTTGTGATCCTTGCTTTACCGAAGACGGCTGCGCAACTGCATGCGTCCTGCCGCCCCTGATTCACCGACTCCCCTGCTGATCGTTTCTAGATGGGCTGGTGTGGATACGCGAAACGTCAAGAATTGTATCTGCTCTTGGCTGGGGCCGAATGATATCTTCATCTGACAGCGTGGTGAGATTGGGGCCTGTGGGTGCGGGCATGCTCCTGTTCGTTCGTCTGGAGTTTAAACAACCTGAGAGGCCCGCAAAAGGGCGCCGAGACGGCCCGCACTGGGGCCGCTCAGGCGCCTAGTGCACGGGAGGATCGCCGATATGACGCTGGAGTAATTCTCAATTTGGCTTACTTGGGCTGCGCGTTTGGAATCTTCTCGGGGTGTCTGGACACTTTAGGGGCCTTCTTCGGGACGCACCCGGGACATCTCAGTGGCTCCTATCTGCTTTTGGGCCAATTTGGGTGCCCTCCTCGTCCTCCCATGGATCCTTCATCACGTCGATCTTCGTTAGGAGCCGTCTCGGGGTGTCTGGACCTCTTGAGGCCTCCCTCGGGTCATGCTCGGGACATCTCGGTGGTTTCTGTCGGTTTGGGGGGCCATTTGGGGCGTCCTGCGCCTCCTCCCCTCGATCCTTCCTCCCGTCGGTCGTCGATCGTCAGTCGTCGACGCCCCCCACGAGACAAGCATCCAAGGCCTCTTGGGGGCCGTTTGGGGGCCTCTTTTCCTCCTCCTGGGGGTCTCGGGGCCCTCTCGGGCCGTCTTGGGTGCCTCTTGGGCCGTCTTGGGCGACTCTGGGGCCATCTTGGGGCCGTCTCGGGGCCATCTTGGCCCGTTGTTGGGCGCTCTCGGGGCTGTCTTGGGTGCCTCCGTCTCGGGCGCCTCTGGAGCCGTCCCGGGGCTGTCCCGGGCCGTTCGGGGCCGTCCCGGGGAAGGAATCCAAACTTCAGGAGCAGGCCTCCAGGTAAAGTACCGAAAGAGATGGGGATGGGAGGCGCAGGTTGAAGCAAAGAAGGAGCAGAAAACCTCAGACAATTGGATTTTATGAGCCCGGCGGTGTTTCATTGCATTCGGCCCCGGGGCCCACGTTCGGAACCCGGGGCCTTGAAAAAGGGGTTCCGGACGGATGCCTACCCCGGGGAAGGGGTCCGGACTTCAAAAGCAGGCCTCCGGGCAGTGTAGGGGAAGAGATTGGGATGGGAGGCGCTGGTGAAAGAGAATAGAGGGGATACAAATAAAGGAGAGAGCGTGATCCACCGCCGCTTTACTATGGAAAATTGCCGCCCTTTTCCTCCGGAACCCGGGGGTCCCCCCCCCTCCGACAATCCCCCCCCCTGCTAGAACCCCCCCACCCCTTCCCCCGGCAAAACCCCCCCCTCCCTACCCCCCCCCCCTCGAACTCGAAAACCGGGGGGGGATCACTACCGGTTCGAACCCCCCCCCCCCCTCGAAAACCGGAAGGGGGGGTCACTACCGGTTCGAACCACTGAGCTGTCCCACTGTTCCCACCACTGTCCCCACTGTCCCCACCACTGTCCCCACTGTACCTCTGTCCCATTGTCCCACCGCCGTCCTCGCCACCGCCTTCACCACTGTCCCCACCACCACTGTACCCTCCACTGTCCTACTGTTTCCACCACATTCCCACTGTCCCCACACCACTGTCCCCACCACCACCGTCCCCACCACTGTCCCACTGTCCCCACTGTTCCCACCATTGTCCTCACCATTGTCCCCACCACTACCGTCCCCACCACTGTCCCACTGTCCCCACCACTGTCCCGCTGTCCCCTCACCACTGTCCCCACCACCACCGTCCCCAACACTGTCCGCACCCCCCCCTCGGTTTTCGAGGGGGGGGGGTTCGAACCGGTAGTGACCCCCCCCTGTTTTCGAGTTCGAGGGGGGGGGGGGTTCGAACCGGTAGTGACCCCCCCCCCTTTTCATGATGAACTGGGGGGGGGGGAGGGGTTCGAACTGGTAGTGACCCCCCCTGGTTTTCAGGAGGGGGGGGGGAGGGGTTCGAACCGGTAGTGACCCCCCCCGGTTTTCCGCCAGCAGCGGTAGAACACGCTCTTTCAAATAAAAAATTATCCTGGCGAAAGACCCAACCATAAGCAATTGTTGGTAACGCGTTGTGGGTGCCGCTTTCGGTGGGGCTCCATATGGGGCCACGAAGCGCTGCCTTGGATAGGGGGAACCGCATGCGGACTGCGCCACCGGGGCGGGCCTTCGGTGGAGCTCCCTATGGGGCCACGAAACGCTGCCCTGGGCGGGGGAACCGCATGCGAACACCCCCACTGGGGCCTTCGGTGGAGCTCCCTATGGTGCCACGAAACGCTGCCCTGGGTGGGGGAACCGCATGCGAACACCCCCACTGGGGCCTTCGGTGGAGCTCCCTATGGGGCTACGAAACGCTGCCCTGGGTGGGGGGAACCGCATGCGAACACCCCCACTGGGGCCTTCGGTGTAGCTCCCCATGGGGCCCGAAGCCGCGCCCTGGGTGGGGAACCCAAAATGCGATGGCAGCCACTGTGGGCCGTTGTGGAGGAGCTTCCTATGGGGCCACGAAGCGCTGCCCTGGTGGGGAACCCGCATGACGAGAGCAGCCACGGGGGCCTTCGGTGGGGTTCCCTATAGGGGGCCACGAAACGCTGCCCTGGGAGGGGGAACCGCATGCGACACCCCCACTGGGGTCATCGGCGGAGCTCCCTATGGGGCCACGAAGCGCTGCCCTGGGTGGGGGAACCGCATGCGAACTGCGCCACTGGGGCCTTCGGTGGAGCTCCCTATGGTGCCACGAAACGCTGCCCTGGGTGGGGGAAGCGCATGCGAACTGCGCCACGGGGGCTTTCGGTGGAGCTCCCTATGGGGCCACGAAACGCTGCCCTGGGTGGGGGAACCGCATGTGGACACCCCCACTGGGGCCTTCGTTGGAGCTCCCTATGGGGCTACGAAGCGCTGCCCTGGGTGGGGGAACCGCATGTGGACACCCCCACTGGGGCCTTCGGTGGAGCTCCCTATGGGGCCACGAAACGCTGCCCTGGGTGGGGGAACCGCATGTGGACACCCCCACTGGGGCCTTCGGTGGAGCTCCCTATGGGGCGACGAAACGCTGCCCTGGGTGGGGGAACCGCATGTGGACACCCCCACTGGGGCCTTCGGTGGAGCTCCCTATGGGGCCACGAAACGCTGCCCTGGGTGGGGAAACCGCATGTGGACACCCCCACTGGGGCCTTCGGTGGAGCTCCCTATGGGGCTACGAAGCGCTGCCCTGGGTGGGGGAACCGCATGCGAACACCCCCACTGGGGCCTTCGGTGGAGCTCCCTATGGGGCCAAGAAACGCTGCCCTGGACGAAACGCTCCCTGGGTGGGGGAAACCGCAAGCGGACAACCCCACTGGGCCTTCTGTGGAGCTCCC